GAGATGCTGAAGCATGAGCACTTCGAGATACAGAGCAGCCAGTGATAGTAGGGGCAGCTCAGGCATTGCGGACTGCCTGCTTCTGGCAGCCAGGCAAAGATGGGGTCGTGCACCTCAGCACCTCCCCCATCCTCCAGGGGGAATAGGAGGGAGAGCAAGATGCAAGAGGTAGAACTGGTTGCAGGGACCGGTGAAGGATTTCGGATTATGCTCCCACTACAGGAAGTCCCTAATCTTTCAGACACTTTAATGACTGGTAATATAGATGTCATCCGAATGTCAGTTGATCCTCACTTGGTTAGAGCATCTGGTCTGCCTTGGGACAGCCTGGGGCCAGTTTGGGACCTGGTGCTTACTAGGGTAGCCTCAAGGGATACTCAAACTAGTGCTCCAGCATCCTTGTTCCACAAACTCACTGCAGGACTGCCAGGGTATAAAAGTGTCATGACCCCTCCATCCCTGAGCGTAGACTCAAGGTCTGTGAGCCTGGTTCAGTTGCCAAGTCATTTCTGGAGTCCCTAGCACAAAGGACCCCGGCTTTTACCTCCTCTGCCTTGTCCCTATGCTGAAAAGGTGGTTGGTAGGATAACTCTGCATCTGGACCACTGAGCTGGAGTCTCAGCAGCAGGTATGAAGAGCATGTGGAGCTCATTTGGACTAAAGAGGGAAGCGAGATGGCTGGGAAGTGGCTAACATGCTAATGCTACCTTGGGCATGTTGCTTGCACGTCTTGTCTCTAAAATATAAGCTCTTTGGGCAGGGATTGCATCTTCCTGCAATTTTGCCCAGTGCTTGGCACATTGAGGTGTCTAGTGCTCTTTAAATAATAAAGAATTGCAAACATTTGCATGTCAGAAATATTCTCCGTCGGTGTCCTTTATAATGTGAAACACACTTAAGATATAGGCAGCTCAGCAATGCAAGCAGAAAGCTGGTTCTGTACAAACTAAAATAAGACTCTTCAAAAAGTTTGCAAAGCAGTGCCCTGCTGGACTTTAGTCTGTGACTGCTATTAAAGTTAATGGCTAAATCCCTTATATACGTTGCTTCAAAAGTTCAGAGAAACTTGAGAAAACATGGGATGCAAACTTCAGGGGCCCAATTCTTTTTTGACTTGCAGGGATATAAAACTGGTGACAAATTATTACCCTACACACCGCTGAAATGCAGCTTAGACTTTTGGTGACTAAATCGCCACACAATGACTTATTTTTAGTGTTTATTTCTCTTTGGTGAGAACCAAAAGATGTGATATTAGCATCCAAATCCAGCAAAAGGGGCAATTGGTTGTCCTGTCTAATTACCTAAATCAAAGCAATCAGTGAACATTTCCATACCATTGCCAGTCTCATATTTTTCAGAAGTTCTTTTGGAGATAGAAGACCCCTCCCAACAAAGAGTCTTGGGCAGTCTGAGCTTTGGTTCAAGAAGGAATTTGTTGATATGCAAGTCAGCAAAGATAGGCAGAGAGCAAAAGCTAGCATAATGTGTAACATGGATAATTTCATTGTGCCCTTAGGGAAGCTTAAGGTTGTCAATAAAAAGTTGTATAAATCTGTTTAAATCAATGCAATGAAACCAGCATGACTTTTCTTCTACAGACAAGACCTGTGGGAATTTTGCTGGAGGGAGACCTGCATGTTCAGGCTAAATGCGTACAGCAGGATTTTAAAAAGATTATGGGCCTGACTCTCTTATCCTGCCACTTCACCACTGGTGTGGCTTTATCAGTCACAGAGGTGTTATCTTTGATTTACAGTTGGGACAAAGCAGAGTAGGATCTGGGCTTGAATCTTAGTTTGTATTATTTACTTGATAGTGTGAGAACTATTCTTGGTTTTCTCTTTACCACATCATCCTCCACACTGAGGAAACAACATGTTACAAACACATTGACTCACTTCGTAAGCCATTTAATGAAAGTTTATTTGTATTATATCACCCATGATTTTAAAGCCTATTTTTCCTCATGGAAAAAGGGAAGTTCCTGTGGTTGTGAAGATTTAATTACAAATATTTACAAGGCCTTTTGGGATCCTCAGAAAGAAACCCTAGGGAGTAGGTTATTAATGAGAAGCCTTTCCCACATGCTCTAGTTTACTTTTAATCCCAGAAAAATCTTACAATCAAATTAAACACAATTGATTAGTCAACACCAAACTGTGCAGAGTTGCCTAGTAGACTTGAGCTTGGCTATTTCCCATTTCATAGCTGGATTTATGTGATCTCCTGTTAACACAAGTTTAATTTATTCCAGCACTAGGAAGAGACAGGTATGTAGCAGAAGGAACATGACAGTACTATGATATAAAATGACTTCACAAAAAATGCAAAATAGCAGATTTGATAAGAAGGAAGGTCTAAGAAAGACAAGATAGGTTTTAGCCTCTCCTAAAAATCAAACTATATTTTAATTTATTTGCATTCTGTAGAACTTTTCACCACTTCCATAAGTGGACACTAGCTGTTAACCTTATAAAGAATAGCGCTTTTTCTGGGGGAAATATGGCTAGAATTACCAGTTTTGTACCAGTCTTATGTATCTAGTTTGGTATTTTCAAAAAGGCCTATAGCAGGTAAATCCCAAATGAGAGTTGGGTGCCTAGGGAAATGCCAGTCCTCAACCCTTGCTGTATCTGTGACTAAGGTATTTGAATGTTTGAAAATGAGATACACTGATCTCATCCAAGTAGCAGCCAATGAAATCATTTTGCAAAAGTCCATAATGTTCATTAGCCAGTTAGTTTGTTGGCTTCAACCATTGCAGAACTGGGCCCTGTGTCTGAGGCTTTTAAGACTGTAATAAACATGTTGATTGACTATAGCTTCCGTCTTGCAAATGGGCTTGTGTTTAAGGACTCCCAAGTCCCTCTGCACATCTCCATGGCCCCCTTGCTCCCTATATGTAACTGTATTCTTCTCAAATGTTGTAGTTCCATTTTTTTAGTTATCACAACTTACATAGAAAAAATGGCATTGTCTTTGTATTGTCACGAGTATTAAATAAAAGTAAAAATCAAATCCAAAACAAGTTTTTGTCCTTTTTAAAAAAAATTGGGAGACTCTTGGCATCAGATTACAATTTAGTGGCTTAAAGAACAAGGGCCAAAATGAGAGTGAAAACATGTTGCATCCTTCCTAGATTCCAAGCATTTGTCCTGATCCAAGTTTGGGAGGTATTCTGGGGCGTGATTTAGCAATCCTGCATTTTGTTCAGTTGGGCACTGCGTTGTGGCGTGAAGATGTTAATGATGCCACGTTTCCCTTGGAATTCCACTTAAAAAGGAACTCGTCTGAAGAAGACAGCCCTGGATGCAGAATTGACTTTGGGGGACATGGAGCTGCGAGGTACTTCTACTTTGCCGGCGACCTCAATTCCTGATCAGCCCTGTGTTTCCCGGAGCGCTCTTGGGTCTGCGGCTGCCAGAGGCTTTTTTCAGCCCCACAAAAATCTGCCGTTCAAGCCTATGTTTTAATTAGTGCACTACTCGCAACACACTCCAGGTCGCCACACACTCCTCCAAATCATTTCCAAGCAGGCTCCTAGCTATAGAGAGCAATTGGTGATTTTTCTGAGGGGATACTAAGTTGCCTCTGTTCCAGCGCAAAAGGACATTCAGGGAGCAAATTCGGGGGTGCACATCTTGGACTGGGAACAGTGGGCTATAACATGGGCAACTGATGCCTGCTAAGTGTGGGGTGGAGGCACCCACAGGCGCCGCTGGCAGTGGGGACGGAGCGCCCGCAGATGTTGGCAGCGGGATGGCCTTGTGGGGGCGGGGGGGCTTTGCCCCCCTACCAGTGGTCTATGGGCTATCAGTGGCCCTGACAGTGATGGCAGCTAGGCTGCTCGGGGCCCAGAGACCTGCGCAGGGCGCTGCTGTAGGACGGGTTTTCCAAACTCAGGGCCGCCCTCCCGTGCCAGGGGAGCCCGGGGGGCAGCGGGCACAGCCGGGGGTGTCCTGGCAATCCCCCGAGCGGTGCGGGAGCGGGGGCCGGTGCAGGGCTGAGGGTGGAGGTGGGGGCGTGGTGGAGGGGGTGCAGAAGGGCCCGGGGGAGGCCTGGGGACGGGGGGCAAGGCTAAGGCCAGGGGTCGGCTTTGGGGGGAGAAGCGGGGCGTCCGCCGGAGGACCACGAGC